TTTGTTTTGAATTGCATCTATAGAGAAATGCCCCAACTTCTTTCTTCTGAAGCCTACAAACAGCCATACAAGTGTTTCATACTACAGTGGTACCTCGGGTTGCAGACGCTTCAGGTTACAGACTCCGCTAACCCAGAAATAGTACCTCAGGTTAAGAACTTTGCTTCAGGATGAGAACAGAAATCATGTGGTGGTGCCATGGTAGAAGTGGTAGTTCAACATGTTGGCTACTTCTGGTCTGAGCCATAGCTGCTGTAGTATAAAACAATATGAAATACTAAGCATACAGTGGTACCTCAGGTTAAGAACTTAATTCGTTCCGGAGGTCCGTTCTTAACCTGAAACTGTTCTTAATCTGAGGTACCACTTTAGCTAATGGGGCCTTCCTCTGCCACCAGACCATTGGCCAAGCTAGCTGAGGCTGATGGGAGTTGGAGTTCAACAATATTTCTCACTCTTCTGGAAGTAATTGTGGACATTGTAGAAATCACCCAGTCCACAGCCCCCTCCCCTCTCCACTGCCATGCCTTGGCAAAAAGGGATTTTTAAAACCCATTTGATTCAAAGGTTAATTAGCTCTTCTAGCTCCAATAGGACAGCACTTACCCAGTGCTCCCAAGGACTCAACACACTTCTGCTTTGTTTTAAGGACAGGTGTACTTTCCTCCCCCCTCCTTCTCTCCACTTCTAGCTTCTGCCCGCCTTTCTTTGGGGCTTTTTAGAATAGTTAGGGAATCTTTTACTCTTTAATCGAGGTGTGTATTGTAGTTTGCTACCTGCTTGGTTTGTAACTTTGCTGTCTGTAGCCATATTTTTATATATCCTGTCTCTATTTTTTCATGTAATAAAACAAACCTTTATTTCTTTATGTGAGATCTTCTTGAGGGCATAGGGTTAAAAGTTAGCATATGTCCATAAAAAGCACATGCCATAATTCTAGCAAAAGAGCCTAAACTGCTCAGCAGTGTGTATATGAACATATATGAGTGCTGGCTGCTAACATGTGAGTCCAGGTATAAACTTGTAACAGTATTACAGTGTATACACTGCCCTGATATGGATGAATGAATGAATGAACCACATTGGCCATTCCTGCCTCAGAATATCAAGCTGAGGGGAAAGTTTTGATCAGAGCAATGTTAGAACCTACTTGTTGTAGCAACTGCAAAATTTATAGATGGTTATAGCCATCCAAAATGGAATGCTTGTCAATAACCTTCTGGATCTCAACTGTTGCAGAAAAATGTATTTGACTTTGACTATGAAAGGTCACTCAATGTTTCCGTTGTCATCTTTCCAGTGCAGCCTGCTTAACTAAAATGTCAATGTGGAATCCATGACCATCCTTGCTTTAGTTGTTTGGGTCAATAGATCAAAAACAATGTAACTTAAAGCTGATTCCATGGATTACTGTAAATACATGTTTGTACAACGTGCTCAGGAAAATGCCAGGGGGGTTAGATGCTGTGGCAGAAGGCGGGAAATAATTTCCCTGAATAATAGGCAATACCTCAGAGGCTCTTCACCTTCTAACAATTAAATAACTGCAAGAGCAGCAGCCACATTTGAGAAATAATCAAATATTTAAAAGGTTAATATGAAGAAACTATTTTTATGACGAGCAATTTAAACGTTAAAGGTTGTTCTGTTATGAACACTGTTGGGATTGCAAATAGTTTACTGCATGAAGGTTTTATTCCTAACTGAAGCCCGAGAAATACATTGTGCCGGGTTCACTTGGCAGTCTGCCAGGAAGCAATTAAACTGATACTGTTGCTAAGGAGATGACTATGTAAACAGTGGGACTTCAGTTATGATAATTTGTGAAAGGAGTCAGCATTTACATGGGTCAGGTTGGGATTGGTCAGCATTCCATTCAAATGTATTGAGTCATAGTTAAAGGCCAATGAGGTTTCTTCCAAGATGGCGACGAAGGTAGCGGCTTAGTTAACTTCGTCTGCCTTTAGATTAAGTTTTAAGTAGTTTTAAGTAGTTATTTTAACCCCCCTCTGGGTTTTTATTGTTTTATTGTTTTTAGACTAAGCCTCAAGTAGTTCTAAGTAGTTTTTAACCCCTCCGGGCTTTTATTGCTTTATTGTTTTATTACCTGCTTCGTGCTTCAGCCTTGCTGCCTTGCCGCACCCCCCGCTGTGCATTTAGTGCTGTGGAGCCGAGTAATCTTCTGAAACGAGTGAGTGGGGAAGGGAAGAGGTCTGGCTAACTCCCTGCCGTGAAGGGACTCCCGTCATTGGAAAGGAAAAACTCAAGGTGGGTGATCGGAAACACCGAAAAAAAGGTTGAAGCAAGCCCTCATTGAGTCTCGTCTGAGTCCCGTCTGTGTGAGTAAGACCATCTTCAGCAAAATCAGGCTGATAAAGAGGCTCGGCTTGGAAAATAATTACCATCCTTCACCTTATATTAATTAACCCCCAGCTTCTATCAGCTTTCATCAGTAAAAAGGACACTGGGAGCTGACGGAAGAGCTCTCAAACCTTCCTCCCCTCTTCCCTCTTCCAGCTCCACCAAAGAAACATACTGAGA